GAACATGACTCATGGCCTGGTGGCGAGGGAAGGGCAGGAGCGCGAGGCGGCTAGAACAGCGAAGGCTCCTTCCCCTGTCGTCGTCGCCCCCCCTGCCCCGGCTGGGCCCCTTGCTCCCCATCTCCATCAGATGCCCACCCCACCCATCCGTCTTATCCGCTCCTCAACGACGACAGCGACGTCAGAACTGCGTCCTTACACAGCATTTCCTGTCCGTCCGTCCGTCGGCTTGTCTGTCCTTCCCTCCGCACCCTTCCGTGTTGGGTCAGGAAGGATTTATTCCTGGCCTCAAGGCTGTGCCCCCTTCTGGTTGACTCACCGAGAGCAGGGTTAGGGTGACGGCACTGCTTTTTACAGGGAGTGCCAGGCAGCTTAAAATAACCTTTCCTCCTCTCCCTTTTCATATCCCTGCCAGAGGCAGTAGGCTGAGACTAGGCTAAGGATTGGCGCCTCTGCCACAGATTCCTGTTGGGAGCCTGGTCAAGACCCTTGAGACTGTGCTGCCTGAGCTGCAGGACGTGGCCCAGCCTGTAGAGAAGAAGGTCAAGCATACAAAGGGCCAGGTGGCTGCATCAGAACAAGGAGCACCGTAGCCACGGTCCTGAGTCCTACAATAGCCAGCTAATGCCACTGAGAAGCTCACGAGCCGCCTACAGGGGCACCCCACTCCCCCACCCTCCATGTTCTTTTTGCCAGGGACCTGCAGTTGCGCAAGACAAACTGGTAATGATTTTGCAGTCACACTTTGTCCATCTACCCGAATACTCCTTCGCTGGTCAGTCACCTGTGACCACTCAGTGGCCTGGAGGGGGCTTGGCAGGGGAGGGGGGGGGGAAGAGCTGCCTTTCTTCTAGCTTGTGGGGACCATTTTGCAGAGCTTGAAAAAATTGTTTCTGGAACTGCATCCCCCAGAATCCCTCAGGCAGCCTGGCCCTTCTGGCTCGGGGGTTTCAAGAGCAAATTCCCCCAAGCTTTGCGGGTTTGTCTGGTCGCCTGGAGACCATAGGCGAGCAGCCGCATCTCCTTGCACCTCTCGTGGTCACGTCTGCTGCATTTTGACTTTTTGCAATGGACAGCTCCTACGTGGACCATCGCAGTGTCATTCCAGAGCCGAGAGACTCCGTCCAGTTATAGCGTAAAACAGAGAAAGGGCCCTTCACTTTTGCTGGCGAAAGGTGACAGATGTCATACCTGCTTGTCAGCTCCTGAGAGGCGACCAAAGCTGGTGAAGAAGCCATTAGTAAATGCTTCTCGAACCAACCGCCGTTATGTGTTCACTAGTGACCGGCTCCACTCACACAGGGGCAGCAGCTGCTGATGTTGGCCAGCTTGCTTAGAAAAAGAGCAGGAGGCCACAACAGCTGAGTTTGTGCCTCTGAGATGGAAAGAATGCGGCTCCACGGGGGGTGGGTGCAAGGCAAAGGAGTCCCAATCTAGCTTTGTCCACAACCGGACTCCGGCCAGATTCAGTGTTTGCTTGGCTGCTCCCTCCCCACAGGGAGAGCTGCCCTATTTCATCCCCCTTTACACAGGCAGCGGATCTGTTTTGAAGGAAATGCACTTCTGAGTTGGAGGATTTTCTCCCCCCCACCGCATTTCCGAGATAACAAACAACCCGTTGACCCTTCATCCTCTATGGCACCCTCCTCGAGGGGAGGGAGGGGTGGGAAAGCAGGGTGTTTCCGTTCCCCCTTGAGCCCCAGCACCCAGCACCCTTATGCCAAGGGCCAGCGCCTTCCCCGTGAGGCCACCAGGCGCCCTCTTAGCCTAACCTGCCCTTGTCCCCCCCCCCAGGCGTGACAGGATCTCTAGATTTATTCCTTCCACCGCTCACCCCGGGACTGTGACCGGTTTCCCTGGCAGCCTCCGGACCAGAGGAGGAGTTGGCCTGGCCCCAGAGAGAGGCCATTTCTGGGGCAGTTAATTATAGAGGCCTTGCTTTTCCTGTCTAGTGCTCGGACAGACAGCTACAGGCGGAGGGCTGGTTTTGAAGCCGCCTCGGTTTGCTCCATGGGCACCTGCCCGAATGGTACAGAAAACCTCGGAGAGGTGAGGACCAATGTCTTGGCCTGGGCAAAGCAAGAGACAAGGTTCCCCCCCCAATGCCTGTGGAACTCCCTTCCACAGGACATTAGCCACAATCAGAACCCAAGCACTTGTTTCTTAAATATTTCCATTTGGGGTGCTCCATCTTAAGCAGAAGTTGACTACAGTATTTTAATTATATCCAATTCTTTTGTTCATCAGCATGGATGCTGAGCCTGCAGTCCCCGACTGCTTCTGGTGCAGAACTTAATCAACACTGTACATATGTGCAGATTTCATTGCACATAGGGAAGCATGTAAGATGTGATTTTGCCTGACCCGTTGAAAAAGACAGACCTCAGCTTCTCTGCTTTATTTGTTACTCTTTTGTTATTCGGCTTGGCTTGCCAGTGTGTAGGCCACCGTCTATTAAAACCTCAGAAGCTAGAAGTGGGGCTGTAAGAATTCCAGCGCCCTCCATGGCTCTTTGCTGCTCCCGTCACAACGAGGATATAATAAGCAGCAGGGGGGGGGGGCTTGAAATGCAAACGAGTGTAAATTTCCATTTTCCCACCTTTTCACATTTAAGAATAGTTTTTTCCGACATGAAGTAAGCCAGTTCTTTTGGTGTTAAAAAAAATCATAAGGAAAAGAGAGGTTTGATATTCTTGTGAAGGTTTGTCCTGTGCTTTTCAGAATTGTCGGTTTGTGAAAATTGCCCCAATGTACTTACAAAGCTAGAATTTTTCCCAGCACTTTTTTTGTTTCAATGGGACGGGGGGGCGGGGGCAGTGTTCTAGGAAATGTGTGAGGACAAGTGCTCCTTTCCTTACACCAGCGGAGGGCCAAGTGGTCCCGGGAGGCGTCCGCGTTGGCAGGAGAGGAGGCTGGCCCGGACAGCCGCTATTCTTCAGCCATCAGGAGAGTTTACATCTTGCAGGATAAATGGCCCGGCTTTTTCCCGCCAGTGTTTACTTCTGGAGGGCAAACTGGACAGGTCAGGACACGAGAGGGATTGATAGGGGATGTGGCCGCGTGACTGGAAGGATCCCAAGAGCGGGGAGCCGGGAGCTGGCCTGTTTTTTGTGTTTCTCGCTAAGTTCTCGGAGGCATTGAGAACAGGCCAGTGGCAGGACAGATAGCGCTGTTCCCCTGTGATGCTTCCAGGTGTGGTGTTTCACATCTGGAGTGTAGCTCACAGTGTCTTTCTCGCACGGCGGCCACAACATGGTACCAGAAAAGAGGGCAAAGGGGGGGCGTGCCGATTTGCACAGAGTTGTTTTTGCAGATGTATAGGTCCAGCTGCAAAACAACCACCCATGTAAAAACAGAGTTGCAGTACATCTCGATCCAGCAAGGAGGACCATGACAGCATTGGGCCTTTGGGTTTGCTGGTGCCCAGGTACTGCTCCTTGTGGATGATGGGCCCTGATGTCCTTCCCTGATGGGTCTTCCATCTCTGGGTCACATTTCGCAGGGCCACTCTGCTCCCTCTGCCACTCACGCACGTGAGCCCTGAGCCGGTTTCCAACCGTGTGCCAGCCTAGGAGGTGTTTCCAGCCCGACCACAAGCTCTCAGCCCAAGGTTTATTGACGCATTAAACTAATCATTAAGTGTGATTTTGCACGTGAACACTCAAAAGCACCCTCTTCTCCATGGCAGGTTCGCCAGTTCCAGAAACAGAACCTGGGTTTTAAAATTGAGTTTAGCTAAAGTGCCCCAAAAGTAACTTTTCTAAGGTTCTGGTCCTGGACGTGGAGGCTTGGGCAGGCCTGGCTGGCTTCATGACGCCCAACCCCTTGCGCTCTTGGCTCCTTCTTGCGGCTGAACTTTTGCACTGGACCCCACTCGCCAAAACGTTCTTTGCACTTCCAGACTTCGGCTGTTTCCACGATCAGTTGGGGTCCCCCTCTCCAGGCCGTGCTCGTTGGGCCCGGCGATGTGCGGGCCAACCCTATAGTGCCCAATCTTGCCACCCATCTTGCCTCTGGCCTTCTGCCTTCCCATCCAACCGCTAGGGCTTAGAGGAGGTCTGGTATGACAACCCTCCATAGCCACCCTGGCCAGTGGAGGACTCTGGAGCCAGCCTGAGCCTCATTTTGGTCCAGCGAAAGAGAGAAAGTGCCTCAGTCGGCACCAAAGTGGGGCTGGAAGGCCAGCGACCAAAGCTGGCGCTATCAGGAGTCATCGGAGGCCTTCGTGGGAAAAAGAAACAAACGGACCACCTTCTGTCCGATCTGCTTTGCTTTGGATGGATCCTTGCCTCGGGCAGGGCGTTGGGCTCAGTAGCCTTCGAGGCCCCTTCCAGCTCCATGATTCTAGGATTCCATGAGGCAGTTTCCCTTCCAGGTCAGTTTTCCTTCAGGTCATCACCCGAGAACGAACCTTCCTCTTGGGGAAGCCGAGCAACAGAATCTTTGCAATTTTAGAAAAATGTGTTCTTCGCGTCCTCCTCAGCCTCCCTCACCCAAACTCACACACTCGCTTACCCTCACATATATATGTGTGTGGGACACATATGCTTTCAGGCTGCCAGCATGTCGAAAGAAGAGCAGGGCCCTCAGTCATTTCTTGCCCCCCCCCGCTCCCACCATTCGTTTATGCCACCACTCAGCCGAGGAGCAGAGAACGTGACCGGGACCCCAAAACTAGAACTGGCCCCCCTGCTCCTGATGGTTGGCCACCTGCCTCTCCACCCAATACCCCCGGAACCCCTAACCTCCAGCAAGGGGAGGCCATGCTTCCTCCCTTGGGCTCCAACATGCCATCTTGCCTTCCACAGGACTAGAACCTTAAGACCACCACCACCACCCCGGCCTTGTTGGGAAGAAATGCAGCATATAAATAAAACGACGACTACTAATTGAGGGCTTTGGCCCTCAATAACAGCAGCTCCCCAGCCAAGAGAATTCGCTCACAGCTGTTGGTCAGTTAAAGCAATAGCCTCGCCTCAACAGACACAGAAACGGGATGATTAAATTAATGGTTCTTTATTCCTTCATTTATTTTGTACAGAGCAGACCTACCTCCCCCCCTTGCCCCAGGGACCTGGAGGGGAGGGACAGAATAACAGCACAGACGGTTCTGGGGAGATCCCTTTTCTATGCCTCTGGCCCCATAGGGATCCCTCCATAGCCAGGGCCCGCAAGGGTACGAAAAGATTACGTTAGGGCAGGATTCCTCTCAACAGGGGAATTCACCTTGTAGGGGTCTTAACTTAAAGGAAAGGTAATGATAATATATACTGTATATATATATAGATATTGGGGAGGAGGGGAAGAGATGCTTTCTGGTTTCAAGCATAAGCGCAGTGGTTTAAGGCAGATTTGGCTGTGGAGCCAGAGGTTGGGAGTTCGAATCCCCTACAGGTGGTGCCTCCTTGACAGGGGCTGGACCGGATGACCCCACAGTGTCCCTTCCTGCTATGCAGTTCCAAGCTTGAGATTCTAGCTGGATTCTTTCCCAGCTACGCCAGATGTTGGGCCAGGCAAAAAGGGTATGGAAACTCCCCCACCCCCTCCATGCCTGCCTGGACCCCATAATGACTTCCAAACCCCATAAGGCTTTAAGCACGCCCATTCTTCTTTGAACTTGGGCAGTTCTTTTCTCCCGTCAGGGCTATATGGTGTCGTCTCCAAGGCCGTGAGTGACAAGGTCTTCCGAGCATTGGCCCCTCCAGGACAGCAGAGAAGGCTTCTCCCCTTTTGGAGCGCCTCTACGTGGGGAGGCACAAAAGCAAGAATGCCAGAGGGGAGAGGGGAAGAGAGGACGGAAGGAGGTCCTATCCTTCCCTCCACCATGGCTCTGTAGAGGCGAGGCCCCGTGGGGAAAGGCCCGCCCCAGCACCGCAGGGCTGAGAGAGGAAGATGCCCGGATTTTTTGGTGGCGGAGCAAAAGTTCTCACGCCTGCGATTCGGCCACGTTCTCCTTGGGGCGCAGCCTGTATCGCCGCCGTTGCTGCTGCCGCCGGGGCCTCCGGCGCAGCCGGGAAAGGCAAGTGAGCCCTACGTGCGAGAGGCGGTGGAGCTGGACCCGGACGCAAAAGACTTCGCTCGTGGGAATCTCCGAGAAGAAAGCCCGGTCTTGGCAGAGCAGCGCCTCTCCTTCCATCAGCTCCAAGCCCTCCATGACGGCCAGGATATCCTGGCGCTGGGCTTGACTCTGCAGGCCTCGGACGTCCAGGATGGCCGACACGTGCTTCCTCCTGCAGGCAGAGGCGAGAGCGGGTTCTGTGAATGGTCTCCGGGAAAGAAATCACATCCTGACAAATCAGTCGGAAAGGAGAGTGTGGAGCCCTTGCTCCACCGAACCAGAACAGCCGAACCCCTTGGTGTAGAAGGACCCTCCGCAGAGCCTGGGAAAGTTACCTTTTAGAGCAGTGGTCCCCAACCTTGGGCCTCCAGAGGTTCTTGGACTTCAACTCCCAGAAATCCTAGCCAGCAGAAGTGGTGGTGAAGGCTTCTGGGAGTTGTAGTCCAAGAACATCTGGAGGCCCAAGGTTGGGGACCATTGTTTTAGAGGACTACTGCCAGCATCATTCCACGGTTGGCCACACCAAGCGAAAGATGCCAAGGAGCATCAGTCCACAAAAAAAGTAGCTTTGCCAGGCTTCCACGATCTGATGCACTTGCGCAGCTGGTGCCAATGGCTGCAGGTACCACAGGCACAGGCCACGGTGGCTTATTTGCCGGGACACCAAATCTACCACATCCTCCTCCTTTGGAGATGAGCGTGTGTTTGCGTGATGAGACCGAACTGTTTACATGCCAGGGGTGGGGAGGAATGAGCTGGTTTGGAGTTGCCCCACGATTGAAAAAACAAGCAAAGCGAGCTGTTTTTTCAAGGCACTCGTTTAGAGGGACTAAAGTGCTGAAAAGCCCAGTGTGGTTTAGCAGGTAAGAGTCTCAGATTAGATGCAGCAGACCTGGGTTCAAATCGACACTCAGCCATGAAGTTCACTGGGGGGTGGTGGTGGTGGTCATGGCCAACCATGAATTGAATCTCTCACCATCTTTAAAAGCTTGTTGGGGCTGCTGTAAGTCAGAACTGATGTGATGGCACACAATGACCCCAAAGCCCCATTTATGATTGAGGTCCAGGATCTCTGAAGAACCCTATGAGGTTGAACAAACAGAATTCATGGAGAAAGGGGTTTCTCCCTCCCTTCCTCTCTCTCCTGCGCTGGCTATTAAAGAAGATAACAAAACAGAACCTCTAGCCCAGATGCAGTCTATCTTAATCTTCGAGGTATGTGTGTCAAACAATGCACACTGGCTATCCCCTTTTTGCTCTGCTTGTAAACTTCCCAGGAGATATTGGATTGGCCAGTGGGATGAGAAAGAAGAGGGTGGGCCAGAAAGAAAGGCGCGTGCGCGCGCGCGCGCACACGCACACGCACACAGGCCAGAAAGAAAGGCGCGCGCACGCATGCACGCACGCACGCACAGAGACCCTGCACCATTCAACCCATAGTTCCATGTTGTTAGTTGTCTTACTATGGATGTTATCACTTCAATGGTTCATCCTCATCCTCATTTCTAGAAAAAGGAGCAGCAAGGGCCTGACGGCTCAAGAAGAGCACAGCTGGACCCGTTGGGTGCCCTTTGGCTTCCCACTTTCCCAGGCTGGGCACACCCCCTAGGGGACCAAAGCCGGCCTTTGGGGGCCTGGTCCTGCGCGAGCCCTGCCTGTCCCAGGCGAGAGAGCCACAGCCGAGGCCTGGCCTGGCTCAGCTCGGCGCATCCCCCTTGTGTGAAGCAGTTTATTTAAAGGCCTGCTGTTTCGGATGTCTCGTTAACTGCAGGAAGCTGGCACAGGGCCCGCGCGCAATCAGCGAGCCGCCTCTCAGCCTTGTTGTCATGCTGGCTGCCCAGAACCGATGCTGCTGTGTGGGTGGAGGCGGTGGAGTGGGGTGGGGGAGAGAAGAGGGGGCCCCAGCGCATGGCCGTGCACTGGCTTAATGGCCCCTCTGAGGGGCTTCTTCCCAGCATCAGAAGCCTGCGGTGCAGAGGCAGGAGATGTGTGTGTGTCCGTGTGTGTGTCCGTGTGTGTGTGTGTGTGTGGAAGTCTCCAACTTTCTCAGAAGTCCTCTGCTAATTAGCCGTTCACATCCTCTACCTCCTGCTCAGGTCTCTTCCGGCTCAGCTTGGCCGAGCCTGAACAGCGGGCTGGGCTCCCAGCCCCATGCAAGCGATGCCTTCGGTCTGAGAGGAAGCCATGCGCCACTTCCTTCCTCCAAGGTTTCCTGAGGAGGAGCGGAAAGCAATCAGAGGCGGCTGGTGGTGGGCGAGACAGCACTTTCCTCCCCCAAAGACACACAGAGACATGCACACACACGCATGTGTACGCATACACACACAGAGAGAGAGAATGGTTGATGCCCAACTGTGACAGATAGAGCAGGACGGTCCATGGAAGGGAAGCCCAAGCCAACAAGTGTTGGGAGCCAATGAATTTTGGATTTGGTCCTTTCTTACTCCTTTGCCACTGCAGCACGGCTCCTTAGACCTTGACATCCAGCTCAGCAACCATAACAGTTTTCATATTTGGGTTTGGGAGGACATCCTTCCGCACTCTTTCACTAGATGCTCTGCTGGAGGTGCTTCTACCAAACTGACTAACCACTGCATTGGACGGTGCCCTGACTGCCTTAAGTCACATCGATGGATGAAATGAGGATGTCAGTCCCCCCCCTTTTTTTTTTTGGTGTTGCGGGAACAACTTAAAGTTGTTTAGGAGTAATTAGCACCCAAACTGCTCCTGACGAGTAAGACCAAAGGCTGCGTCCTTCTTCCTAGCTCGTAATAAAATCATAATTTAATTGTTTTGTTATTGGTAACTTATTCATTATCTTCCTATTATGAAACTGGCCTTGGTTTTCCTACAACAGGAATTTGATGAGAATGATGCTGACCATGTTCCTTGGCTGTGAATGTCCCTGAGCATATTTATGGAAAGGGTGATATGCAAATACAGGGATTGACAGATTGATGGCTTGTGTGTTTCAGGAGGACTGCCAGTTAGTAGATGCTGAAGACACTGCAGTGAGCCTTTGATCTAGGCTGGCGTACCAGTTCTTATGTTCTTAAGCATTGTTTCACATGTAAAGCTAGCAGTCTAAGCAACGCTTAACACTTTTGTGGATCCCACAGATCTGGTCACCCTAACAGAACAATTCTTGTCTTGCTGCCCTGCAAAAATGCTCAGCCAGAAGGAAGTTGCTCCCAAACCCACTTCCTGTCTGAAGCCCAGCCACTTGTTTTTCTCCTCTTGGATGTCATGTTTTTATTTTTTTTATTTGGTTTTTTTTTTAAGCTTTCAAGAAACATCAGGACCAAAAGGGTCCAGATAAAACAGGAAACGTCCGTCAGCCACACTTAACAGGCAATCTGTTGCCTCTGAAACAATTCCTAAGGATGCAATAAGCAGGAAGATGGAAAGGAAAACAAACAGAAGAGACGCGATAAGGAGCCGCTTTGCCCTCCCCGAGTGACGCAGTCGGCTGGTCGCTGAACGGAGCAGGGCCGGGTGCTGGGCAGTGGGGTGGGGGTGGGGGGGAAGAGAAGGGTATTTATATGTTCCTTGCCAGCCTGCTTTTCATCCTGGGAAACAGGCAGTGACACTTTGGGCTTCCAAGAACCGGCACTGAGAGGAAGGAGATGAACACCTAGGGGTCTTCCCCAAAGAGTCATCTGGGGCATCAGCCTTAAAACAGCCATTAGGAGGATATGAGAGCAGTTGTTAACAGGACAAATGCTGCTAAGCGGAGAGAAGCCCAGGAAAAAGTCTGAAAGAGTCTGGCTTGCAGAAGCCAGAGGGTACCAAGGAGGTGGAGATGCCACGAACGACATGGGTGTGTGTGTGTCAGTGGCCCCACCCAGTCCACCCTTCTTCGTCTGCTTTTGAATTGCTCTAAAACAACAAAGACCCTCCCAGGGAACAGAAAGAGCTGGCAACTTTCGCAGTGCAGAAGCATTTGTGAACAGCAACTCACTTAGGCAGCAACGACCCTGGCAAGCGGGATCACTCCGATTCGGAGGGGTTGGATGCCCAGCGGTTATTGCGGCTGGGATCACCGCCAGGGATCACACAGAGGCTGGCGATGGATTCGGTGGATTCAGGAGTTCAGTGGTTCACGTTTGGTATGCTGCCATTCACATGTCCCTCCACAGGGCCACCCCCATATTTGGGTTTGGGAGGACCTGCTTCCGCACTCCTTTCGCACAACACAGGGTCACTCCCCCCCCCCAGGGAAGCTTTTGGGAGCTGTGGAACCTCAAACCTGGAGGCTGACACACAAACGCAGGGCAAATGTCCAGAAAGTAAAAGATGACCCCTTCCCAGTGGTGTGACCAGTTCCCCTGGGTCAGGAACTGGCCAAGCAGAAAGATGGCCACAGGGAAGACACCATCCAGAATTCCCTGACCTGATGTCCCCCAGACGTTCTGGACTACAACGCCCAGGAGCCCCTTGCTAGCATGGCCAATGGTCAGGGATGATGGAGCATGTGGCCGAAAGCATTGGGAAAGAAAGAAACCTGGAAAGGCCAAATATAATCCAGCACCTGATTCAAAAGGATCTGTCGGGAATGGCCACCTTTGCAACCAAAGTGAACTATTAAAAGATTGCTAGGAAGAACAACTCAATGGCACCTCCCTGTGCAGTGGCAGTCTACCTTCGAATGTTCTCCTCACTGGGAACAGGCAACAGGAGGTAACTTAGTGTCCCCCCCCCACTGCTTCTGAGTTCCCAGGAGTCACAGGGCTGTTCCCCCCCAAGCCCTGCCCTTCTTGAAGCAAGGCTCCCCTTCCCGAAGCAACTGTGCTTTCTGTACTCACTGCACGTCAGGAAACTCTCTTGCCAGGAACCCCACTTCCATCTGGAGGGCAGGCGTGTCCTCCAGCTCAATGATCCCTGCCAGATGTGGCACGACAGAGTCCAGCCAAGAGGAGGTGGATTCCTGCAAGGAAGGGAGGAGACAGGCCACTGTCATGGAGGGGACAGGAGAGACAGCCCTCCTGTGGCCTTGCTGGATGGAGCCTGGCAAACATGCCCCAGGAAGTGACCTTTTCCAAAGCAACCCGTGGAACTCCCTGCTGTGGGAAGCGGGGAGGTGAAGCCGAGTCCCAGGAAGGCGACCCACCGCTCTCTGAAGGTGCAAAATGCTGGACAGCTCTATCAGCAGGAAGGCACCCCCAGCGGGTCACCATCCCTTCCCTTTGCCAAGAAGATTCCCGACTGTGCCCACCTCCTGGCAGTTGCTTTACTCAGTGGGAGGCTTCGATCCCAGAGCGAGCGGAGAAGAATAACTTTGGGGGTGGTGGAAGGAGGGGTGGGGGGGGGGAAGAGACCTTTGCGTGGTGAAAAGGGCAGAAATGATCCTCACAAGAAGCCCAGACTGTGGGTGGCGGCAAATCTTTAAAGGCACGTCCCACAACGCTTCCTCATTAGCTGCTACATTCATGCCCTCCTACCTCCCCTTCCATGAGAGCACAAGGCAGGGTCTGGGGCTCTTTCCCCCCGCCCCAGTTTATTGTTCCAGGAACCTCATCAGGACAGGTCAGACTGAGGGGGGATTTGAACTCTGGACTCCCAGGTCCAATGCTCTCTCTCTCTCTCTGCTACACCCGACAGGTTCTTGCTTATGGCATTTACGCTCCCATGCCCTGAACTGCACTCTTCCTGGTCTGAGAAGCAGCGTCGAGATGTTATTGTTGTGGGCAGAGAGATCTGGATGGCCTTTGTGCCTCTAGCTCATCCCCAGCTTCTGTTCATCATCCTCTGTTTTAAGAGGAAAGGGAGAGCCCAGTTGGACGGGGTCCACGTCTTGCGTGCTCTCCCTAACCCTTCCAGCCAGGACCTGCCACCGCAGCCAAATCTATTGTTTTCAAGGTGTTTCAGTGCAACGGCTCCACTGGCGTTGTTTTGAGTCAGTGCTTAAAGTTTTCTGCTCGTTGCTATTTTTGCCCTGGCAGGCACCACCTCTGGGCTTGTTTTTATAAAGCGCATCTTTGTTATGTTTACAGTTTCCATTTTTGAAAGCTGCCTTGAACCAGGTCTAGGAAAGCGGGTTGCTATAAATGGCTCCTACGACTCTTCCTTCTAACAACAACAACTTTTGGAAAAAGGTGCCTTGGGACTGCTGGGTGCAAAAGGCCTTTCGGCAGCAGGCACAGCTTTTCTTGGTTTTTTTGGGGGGGGGCTGCAGAAGTGGGGTTCCCCTTCCCACCGAAACCCCTTCTCGCCCTTCCCACCTTCACTGACAGTCCTGCTTTGCAAGGACCCCAGCATCGTGCTCTCCCTCACGCCCTTGCCCTCACCGCCCCCCCCTTCAGCCCTTCTTCGCTTTCTCAGCGGGCAGGGGCAGAGGTCGCCTGCATCCCCGGCTGCCCATCCTCACCAGCTGGATGAAGAACTCCTGCAGCTGCTTGGCTTCGCTGCGCAGCTTGTTTGCCATCTTGGCCCTCATCCTGGAGGAGGTGCAGATGAGACGGACCCGCATGAGCGGGCGGACGTATTCGATCAGCACCCGGCGATGGACCTCCTTCACCAGCAGCTGCGTGGCCAGAAGAAGGCCAGAAAGGGCAAGATCAGAGAAGGAAGGAGAGAGGAATTTTTACAGGTCAGGAAGGAGGCACTGGACACCGATACACAAAGTTGGGGTGCGCCTCCGGGTCAGAAGAGAGATCGCCTTGCCTTGTGTTGCATTCTATTCTATTCTATTCTATTTTTACTGCCTTCCTATTTCCAGCACGTCCTCCGTGCTACACAATGCTTGGTTGCCCACTGTTTCTCCTGGGCCCTGCTCTTCTGCTCTTCACAACAGGGGCTGAGCAAATGTTACGTTTCTCTTCCTTCCTTTCTCCTCCCAGGTATGGCTGTCAAGTGGCAGGAAAACGTTTTGCTCACCCACTTACTTTGGGCTCCTGCTGAAGTGGGGGCTGGGGCGGGGGGGGGAGAGCCCAGTCCCACCAAGGGAGAGAGATAAAGGTGTCTCTCTTTCTCTCTTCGGGCATGCCAACTTCCGGGGGCACCAATTATGTTACTCCATCAGGGAGGAGGCTGGCTAACAAACACCTCTCCTGAGATGATGCACCAAAAACCCGACAAATTATCTCCCGTCGCCTCCTCTGGGAAGGGTGTGGACATTTTCGCAAGATGACATTTGAACTTCCTGGATGTTTACTGATCATTGATTAAGAATTCATTGGCGTTTCGCTGGATTGGCAAAGATTTTACTGAGTTTTAAAAGTTTTATTGTTTAGGTTGTTTCAGTAATGTTGTGAAGTGCTTTTATTTTTATTTATTTTAGTGGGAAAGTGGGACAATATATGCTTATGCATATATTAAATGATGCTAGTCTGCACTCTCATCATCATCATCATCATCTTGCAACTGCAGAGACTAGTCTGCACTCTCATCTCATCATCGTCACCTTGCAACTGCAGAGCTGGAAGAAACCCTACGGATCTTTGAGTCCAGCCCTTGTCAAGGAGGCGGGGGGGGGATCGAACTCGTAACCTTTGGCTCTGCAGCCAGAGACCTAGCAGTTCTGCCTCTTCCTCCATGACCATGTATGGCTTTGCTACCTTCCCGAGGGCTCTGGCCCTTGGTCCTTTGTGCAGCCAGAACTGCCTGGGGGCAGGACCGTTCGCCTTCCCGACAGACCGTACTCACCTGGTACGGCTCCAGCTTCATCTTCCTCAGCTTCTGGGCATGATCCGCGAGAAGAGCCATGATGGTAGGGAAGGCCTCTGAGTTGTTTAGCCATTTCCTTTTCATTAGTTTGTGGAAATAGGGCTGGAGAGCAAAGGGGGGGGGAGATGTAGAGAAGAGGGAGATGCTTTATACCAAATCAGAATCCGAGCTTTCTCCATCCTCAAGTAGCCGTGTTGGAGGAGAAAGTTGAAAGGATGCATAGATTCCGCCGCCCAGTCGTCCCCCCCCCGGGTCAACTTTCATAATCTCTGTCCCAGTCACCATTTCGGAGTCCAGCTGACATCCCTTTGGCAGCCAGTCCCGCTGGAGCCCTGTGGCGCAGTGGTTAAACTGCAGTCCTGCAGTCAAGACTCTGCTCAAAAGCTGAGTTCGAGCCCAGCAGATTCAGGTTGCTGGCTCGAGGATGACTCAACCTCTCACCCTTCCAGGGTTGCTAAATTGAGTACCTAGCTCACTCTGTGTGTGTGGGGGTGTGTGTGTGTTGGGAGGGTGGGGGGCAATGTAGAGCTTACTTAATTAAATTGCAAACTGCCCAAGGATGCTTGAAGCGCTACGAGGGGCAGTATATAAGCAGCACCCTTTCCCCTTTCATCAGCATGCCTACCTTGAGGTCTTGGAAAAGGTGCTCAGCCAGCACTCGGTTGCAGAGTCGGATCACCCGGTCCAGGGAGGAGTTGGCCTGCTGCCTCGGCGTCTCGCTCTCAGGGTGGCTAAACCTCACCAAGCGCTCCACGTAGTCCCTGAAAGAAAGAGAGAATGTTGGTCAACTGGGTTCAAAGAGCCCATGACAGTTCCTGTGATGACCGAGTGCAATTAAAGGAGAATGTCCAATCCTCTCCTGGACAGCTGGTTTAGCGAAGGAGAGATCATTTAGCAGATGATTGGTCCCACCAAAGATGTGGGGACAGCAGAGGAAAGGGGCAGAGAGGTACGGGTGATGTGAGTCAAGAACTCCATGAAGGTTGGTATGTGTGTGTGTTTGTGTGGCTCCCTATTTCACATACCAATCTGACGGATTCAGACTGTTTTTCTCGTGCAAATTCAAGGGGCAGAAGAAAAACACAAGCTCTTGTAAGTAGGCCCATTAAAATCAATGCAGACTTAAGTTAGTCATGATTAACCTAAAGCAGAGATGGGAAATTTTTATTTTTTCTGCTTTAGCACACAGATGGCTCCAGTCAGCATGAACACTGTTCATATCTTTACCAGCACTGAAGGTAAGTCCCACTGATTTTAGTGGGCAGATAAAGCTGGCTGCATTCAGATCCAGTCCCTTGCCATTTCAAAGCACCCATTTGGATGTATGAGCATTTATGAATTTATGTTCTGGGGAGCAGATGTTAGGCTGGGTGGGGGAAGATAGGGGGCCCATGGGTCGAGAAGGGTCATGGGGAGGGTGGCAGCCAGAAGGGGCCATCTGGACAGGAGTGGCTCCTGCATTGCCTTTCGTATCCGAGGCTGGCCAGGGGGCGATGGGACCTCACCTGAAAGCTGGGCAACAGTTGACCAGCATGATGGTCCGGCTCATGTAGCTGTCGGCCGGGAGGCTGCTCTCCGTTTGCTGCTCATGGAACCTTTCGACCTTCCTCTGGAAGCTGGTGGAGACCCAGAGAGGGGAGGAAGAGGAGGAAGAAAGTCACAGAAGTGGGCAGGTGCAAAACCTCCTACTGCTCGGCCCCCGTTCCACCGCACTCTTCCTGCAGACCCTGCCTCTTGCTCTGTTCTCACCTGTTCTCCCCCCCCCTTGCAACGTACACCTTGTCCTGCTGCCCCTGATTTTGATGGCTGGCCCAGGCAGACCAAACGTCAAGCTCTCTGCTGGACTCCCAGAGCCTCCCCTCGCCCCACAGGTCATGCTGGCCGGCCACTGCTGGCCGGGGTTGTCCACAGAATAACTCCGCCGATCTCTGCTTTCTACAGGATGGGCCATGACAGGTGTCTTCTCTTGGCTCCTCTGGAGTCAGGATCTCCACCTGCCTTTCACACAGGACTACCTTGGCCTTCCTGTGTTCTTTGCATTTTCTGTGTGTCCCTGTGGGGCACCACATCTATTCACACACACAACAGCACTACTGTACAAGCACAGCTCTCTGAGTCAGGGCCTTGAGGGAGCAGACCAGCTCCAAACAGCCCCCGCTGGGCTTCTTGGCCTGCCCCCCCCCCGCATCCTCTCTCCTCCAAGGCCTCTGTCCGGGGACTCCACCTCATGGGTGTTTCCTCGCTAAACAGGGACACAGCGGCTCAGTGGATATGCCGCGGTGTCCTTGGAGGCCAACTGAAGATGGACGTGGCATTCCTTTCCTCCTCCTCCTGTGGTGCCCCTGAGCATTTTCCTCCCAAGGATTATTATTTCCACTGCACGCTGGATGGCATCCAAGGGACAAGAAGGACAGGATCCCCTTATTCAGAGCGAAACAAGACACACACAACCAAATTTTCCCCTGCCAACATATAGTGTTTAAAAAAAAAACCCACTTTCCCAAGTCCTAATTTTCAGTCCATAAGAAAGCCAGGGTTGGTGTTCTCGTCTTCCACCCTGGACCCAATGTGGCCTTCCTGCCCTGTGCTCTTCCCATCTTCTTGGGGTCCCCTTGCCAGTCCCCTTGCCCCCCCCAGCCGTCGGCAACCCTGGAATACCTCTGCAGGAAGTCCGCCAGGCTGGTCAGGCAACACTGAGCCATCCTCACTCCAAAGTCGTGTGTGATCTGGGGAGCTTTGTCTGCATGAGCCTTCAGCATCTGCAAAGCAGGAGACTGAGATTCAATGCCTGTGGGGGGAGAGAAGCGACCCCCAAGGGCAGCGAGGCAGGACACGGGGTCCTTGGAGTGTTGCCTGGGTCATCCCCATCAGGCCCAGGCACACGTGGTCTGGAAAAAAAACCCTTTTTCATGGCTGATAGGACCTGTTCCCTAGCCTCAGAAGGCATCACTCCAGGTGAGGCTGAGCAGGTGCACAGGTCAGGAAAGAAGATGATGGGAGTGAGCAAAGCGTGACTCTGAGGTCTCATGAGCCCTCCCGGGGCGGCTGTTTTCCTGGCCCTTGGGTCTCTCCTGCCAATGGGCTTGAGTTGAGGCCACTGACTTCTGTCCAGTCAAAAGCGTCGGACGTACCATGATGACTTTGCTGGAGAGGCCAAACTGGAAGTTCTCCCCCTCGCCTTCTTGAGCCCATCTCTCTTCTTCCTTCTGCAGCTCTTGATTCATGTCATTCACAATCTTGGCCTAGGAACAAGCGACAGAGGAGACCCTGTGGATGCATCCGGGTGGGAGGAAGGTTTCGAGAGGCGCTTGTCTCGTCTGCACCAGGAGGAGGTGGAAACGGTCAGTCTGGAATCAGATCTACAGTGGGATCTCTGACTTCCAGTTGTTTAAGAATAGATCCATAAAGAGTAAGTCCTGCCCTGAACGGTTCTACTGCAACGGAGAGACCTTTTCATCATCTGTTCTGTGGAAGAAGGGTGGCCTCTCTTCAGCTCTGGTAGACGGGACAAACTCTGGGCCTGAGAACTCTTGAAGTCTAAGTGTCTGTCTTTCGCACCTGATCTCAGCTGCTAGTGGGTCTCAGGATGCATGGCTTACAGGTTCTCCTTACAGTGGCTGTGCAGGCTGGGGAGGATGGGAGTGGTGGTACAACATATCTTGGGGGCACCGGAGTGAAGACGTTCATGCATGAGAAAAATTAACTGTGTCTAGGGGAGCCTTTTTCCTAAAACTGAAACAACACATGATTGTCTTTCTCCAGTACATCTGGAGCAGGTTTTTAAAATTACTATTAATATCGAGAATGTCCTTCATTATTTCTAGATTTGGGGAAGTGCAGAAATGATCAATTAGAGAACAAATAGAATGATAAAAGGCCATGCGTGGAATCCATAAAAGTTAATTGGAATGGTTTAAAACCCCTGCACACGAAAGAGTGAAAGGTAGGGGTCGTTAATGTTCGGCCCTACCGTAGGGCAGATGGCACACTTGGGGACCAAACATATGGCTGTGGCAAAGCCAAAGCAGCATGGTTGAGAAAAGTCCCCCCCCCCACCGCACCGCAATTGCTTTCTACCTGCATCCTGCAGCTCAATAGGCATCTTCTCTGCTGAAGCATTTCAGCAGAAGACCTAAGATATCAGCTGGCAAGAGAGTGACATACAGTCGGAGTCTGCAAAGGTAACCTACTCCGCAGGCCCTCCCTGTCATGGTGTGTTTCAAACTGGTCTTGGATTTTGTCCCCCTGGAGCCTTCCTGGGATAGAATAATCGGGGCCACTGCTTCTGCTTCAAAAGCACAGCGTGCTGCTTATATACTGCCCCACAATGCATAAAGCACTCTCTGGGAAGTTTACAATTTAATCAAGCAAGCTACATCTTGTCCCCCACACCCCAGCGAGCTGGCTGCATCACCCGTTGCCTTTCCCCAGTACCTGCACGGCTGTAATGCATTCCTCTTCCAAATTTGACTAGGGCCACTGCTTCTGCTTCAAAAGCAAAGCGTGCTGCTTATATACTGCCCCACAATGCATAAAGCACTCTCTGGGAAGTTTACAATTTAATCAAGCAAGCTACATCTTGTCCCCCACACCCCAGCGAGCTGGCTGCATCACCCGTTGCCTTTCCCCAGTACCTGCACGGCTGTAATGCATTCCTCTTCCAAATTTGACTGGGTCTCCGGAGACAGCAGTGGGCCAAGCTCCTGGCCCTTAACCAGGGAAGAGATCTCTGCTCGGCCCAGGACCTCTCTGCAAGAGAGAGAGAGAAAAGAAGAGGGATGTCTCTGGGTGGCTGAAGGTCCAGCTTGGCCCAGGCCCTCCGCCAGAACATGGTGAGGCTCACTTACCTTTGGTAGATGTTGCTGTTCCAGTCCAAGATGAAATAGAGTTCGGAGATGGTCAGGTTCTTCTGGATCAACTCTGCCAGGCGCTGGGCCACCCCCCTGTGGTAGCTGCACAGGTAGACCCCGAAGGCCTCGTACTCTTTCGGGTAGGCGTGGAGCAGGTGGAATTTCACCGTGCACAAGTCCTCCATGGCGCACTTGGCCAGCCTGTCCATCTGCGTGGCAATGGGGCCCGCCCTGCCTTCCAGACACTGGCATAACCTCTGGTCGACCAGCTTCTTCACCGCCTCCGCCCACTGCTTCTTCATGGCCCGGGGCCGGGGGCTGGCTCCCTCCGCCGCCGGGTCCCGCTGGGCCTCCAGCCACTTGCGGTCCGTCTCCTCCTCCTGCTCAATCACACGTACCATGAGCTCCAGAGGCAGATAGGTGCTCTTGGCCACCAGGGACTCGGCCAGGACGGCCCACAGTTCCTTCTGCAGCGCTTCGTAGAGCAGAGACACGTCCTTGGCCTTCCGGCTCCCATCCTTCCGCTCCTCACTGGTGCTCTCCGGGCCGTGGTGCCCAGTCTGCTCGCACTCTGCTTCGAGTTCAATGATGTGTTCGTCAGCCGTCAGCAGGTCCCTGTGCTGGATGAGGCTCAGGATCTCCAGAACTGAAGGAGAGAGGGGCACAAGAAAGAGAGAGAGAAAATGAACCCATAATCTGCTCATTTTATGTTGCAAGGAAACAGCTCACATGTTTGAGGACACCTGGAAAGATTTCCCAACGGCTCTCTGAAAGAACTGCCCTCCAGTTTCCAAAAAAATGTATATTAGCATCTGCCAGAGTTAATCAGGATCCTCTCAGAACGCAAGGCAGCTCTTATCCATCTCTGGCTGATCCGGGCACAGCTGGAAGCTGCCATTCAGATTGTCAAGACTGTCATATAGATGAGTTTGACGTTACTTGTCTAAAACGTGTCAGGCACTGGTTTCCTAGCCATATGTAAAAGTTTAGAAAATTCTTTTCAAAAAGAGGAGAAGCAGGAGCAATGACATTCACCCATTGGCCCATAACATGAACATCTCTGGAGAGATTACAACGAATCAACAGTAAAGCAATTTGAGTACAAAATAAAACATATAGCCATAAAATCAGAGGTAACCTAAACTACAGGAAGAATAGGTCTGTGGCATCCAAAAACGAAACACCGCTTTGTGGACTGCTCATCCTAGACTCTGTGGGGTTTTTTTATTAATCCCAGGTGAATAGGAAATATTCCCACCTTGTGCTAAAGCCACCCCAGAGACTGTGGCTGGTGACCTTCCATGGAGAAGTGGCTCCACCCCTGGGAGGCCATGACCGAAGATGCCTTCCTGTGGGTTGCACCTGCCCCATTTCACCGGGTTGGGGGGGACTTGGGGCAGGGCTCTTGAGGAAGATCTGACTGTTTACGGTGGTGTGAGTGGGAGGGAGATTTTAATTTTTTTTTTATTTTAGTTAACCTGGTCCCGCAAACAAGGATTCTCCTTGTCTTTGTTTTTGACCATCGTTCTCCAAAAACCTGCTGCCATCCTGACTGTGGAATTGAGGGAACCCAGACACAAGGTTTCCCCCTCCCTGCCTCCTCCTAAGCCTGTCGAGGTTTTAAAGCTGGAAGGCAGAACTTCAAATAAGACTGGAAAAGGGAACCAGAAAAGGGACTGAGGCAGGAAAGGGTGGCCAGGATCAGGCCGACCCACCCAGCTTCAAGTCGCCTTCTTTCCGAAGAAGTGCTGTTTCTGTGTAAAGGCAGCGGCCCCGTGCCATGCGTTGCGCCGCTCCGACAGGGCAAGCCCAGGTGCTCCCCGTTCTCGGGGCTCCCCCGTTCTGCCTGTCCACCTCAGCCAAAACCCCTTGGGCCAGGCACCTCCTGGCCTGCGCCAGGGCACCCCACACAGCTCAGGGCAAAAAAAAGAGGGGTGCCTGCTCTCCACGGCCTCCCACTTCTCAGCTCCACCTGGCTGGCGGCCCAGGGGACGACGAAACAATGCCACTGGGCCCTCGGCTCTCTGGCTGCTTCTGTGCATTTCCCTTCCTCGCTCCCTGGACCTCCCGGCTCCTTTCTCAGGGCTGACCCCCAGGCCGTGAATTACTCGCGCCCGGACAGCTTTTTCCTGGGCAACACCCTGAACTGCAAAGGGACAGCTCTCGGAGCTGACAAGCAAGCCTGTGATCCCTGGCCCTTGGAGGGGACCAAGCGTGGGCCTGCCCAGCCCTGACAGACCTTCCCTGGTGTGGACTCTGTGGGGTGGGGTGGGGTGCGGGGGGGAGGGGGAAGTGGAGGGAGGATGCTTCCCTCCACTGAGCTGAAGCCATGGTTGAACCAGTGAACTCTTGGGCTGGCGTCGCATTCCTGCTCTTATCAAGCGATAGCATGTTGACTCTGCCCGTGGACAATAGCCTGCCTTGTTCCTTAATCCAACTCATGAGGCGTCTCGGCTGCAAAGCTGTGACCTGTTGTCGGGAGCCCCCCCCCTCCCGCAACTCCTCGCCTCTGTGAGGCATCCTGACCCTTCCTCGGTCCTCTTCTGCCTCTGTCTTGAGCACCTCCTCCTGAATGCACACACTCCCCAACCAGGGGTGAATATCTGAATGGTTGGAAAGCTTGTATTCGTGAAGGCTTTCACGGCCGGGATCTAACGGTGGTTGTGGGTTTTTCAGGCTCTTTGGCTGTGTTCTGAAGGTGGTTCTTCCTGACATTTCATCAGTCTCCCTGGCCAGCATCTTCAGAGGACTGGAGTAGGAACTCTGTCCATGCTCTGTAAAGCTTGCTTGGAATCCACTCCTTTAGGTTGGGAAGCCCAGACCTATTGGTGCGGTTTGGAGATGATTCCAGCCGGAGAGCTGTTGATTCATTTTTTTCTCAACACATCTCAGCCAGAGGTTGGAAATGGTACCGTTCCCCACCCCTTGCTGGGTTCTGGGAGCTGGCAGTCCAAAACAAGTCGCTTCCCCACGTTCTGGTTGCAAGCGCCGTGAAATGTCCTCGGGAAGACGCCTGAACCCTTCACATCACGGAGGGCCAAAGGCCAGAGCAACTTGTCCGCAACTCACTCCTGGTGGGCTGATTGGGGGGTGGGGGGCTAGGCTTATGCCTTCTTTGCTTGCAGGAAGTCCCAGGATCAAATCCTGACAACACTTTCAGTTAAGAGAAACCTAAGGTGGCAGAGGAAGGCTAAAGACTTTCTCTGCCTGAGTCCCCAGAGAAGCTTTGTGACAATCCAAGAACAGGCCATACATGGGTGAAGGGTCGTCTGGGAGCCTCCCACCCTGAACATTTCACGGCCTGAGACAAAGGCAAATACAGTATAGGGGTCAAGGAGCGAAAGCTGGCCAGGCCCAGAGCTGACCGTTAGCGTGTCAAATCCCACTGCAGGAGGGCGGTGGTGACGCAGAACGGTCCTCCTGGAGCAGGCAGTGGTCTGTCCAGCCTCTGGCCCACGGCACCTCCCGCCTGAGGCCGAGGCTTCGTCTTGCAGAATGGCAGGCCAGCTCTTGGGGTTGACTAGCTTCCTTCGTTTCCTGCGAGGAAATGCCATCAGACAAAAGGTTGTGGCGATAATGCTCCAGCCTTATCGACACCGTCACAGGGTTCAGCTGGGCCGCCGAGGACTCCCCTCCGGGCCGGAGGGTCTCTGGACTCTAAAGCATCGATTCTCAGGCAGGGCGGAGGGGGTGGAGACACAGAAAGCAGGGGTGGGGGTGTGTGTTTAGGATACAGCATACAACTGCCCGCAAGGAAGGCGGTGGTGGGTGCATGGTGCAGCCCATCGTTTTGTATTTTATTCCAGAGTAACGAGTGCTCGTTGGATTGAATCCTCATGCTCTGAAGCTCATGATGACTCAGAAAGGGAGGGAGGTGCCCCTGCAGGATGGATGTTCGAGGTCCCTTTCAGCCACAGAAAGGAGTCTCCTGAGCTGAATTCGTCCCTCATCTCCAGCCTAGACGCAGCTCATGGACCCGGCAGTGGGGAGGGTCACTACAGAAGTTGCAGGGTGGGATGCCCCCCCCCTCCCCGTCTGTGGCCATGAGCCACCTCTGCTCCAGGGATTCCCATTTGAGCCCCACGTGCTAAAGTCGTGCCATCGTTTTGCACAGCCCTTCTGGTCCAGAAGAGGAACTGTTTTAAAAACTCAAGCTTGCTGGGGAAAGGGGAGATGCTTTGGGTTACTATGGCAACCCCCAGCCCCTCCGACGACCCTGTTGCTCTCCTGGTGCATTCAGCCTGTCAGGGATGAGGGGAATGACAGGACAGGCTCTTGGCCGGAGTCCTCACCTCTCCGGGCCCTACAGACAAGTTGCTTAACTTATTATTTCCGGCCGTGTGACTCCTCCGTGTGTTTTTATAGTGGCCTCCCAAGGTCCTGTGTGGAAAGACTGCCAGGAGCCCTGAGCGCTTTCCTGCACGCAATGGTAGCCCCATCAGCCTGCGTGACCCCTTTGTGTGGTGGGAAGAGGGAGAGCCTTCTGGCTCGCTGGCAAGGACACGCGTCACATTTGACATCCCGGTTCCCGCTCAGGAAACGAGGCTGGTTCTGGGGCCGGCCCTACCAGGAGGCAGGCTGAGGCTGTCCCCTCAGGTGGCAGAACAGTGGGGGGTGGCAAATCTGCAGAAAGGTGTTTTCTCTCTTTGGCACCCTGATCTTTTCCTACCTGAGGAAGCCTTGCAGCAGGGGCGGGTGGGTGTGGGACCAAGCATGCTGCTCAGGGCCATTTCCTCCCTTCTTGGCTTTGAAACCGAGCATCTTCACCCATGCACCCCAGATGCAGGCATTTGGGGGGGGGTCACTTCTTCACCCACCCCTCCCAAGGAGGAAGAGAAAAGTGTTATGGGGGAACTATATCTCTCCCCATATCTCAAAAATGTATAGCCCCCCAAAAAGGAGATTTTTTTTTCAAACTACGAAAAGTTGACAAGCAAGTAAAAATGTTGGACTTTTATAAGAGCAGGCATTGCGCGACGACAGCTCCCAAAATCCCGGGAGTAAATCCAAAGGAATAAAGTTTCCAGGCTCAGGAGAGCTTTTTTTGGTGGGTGATGCCGTTCTCTAATCGAGGGTGACCAAGAGTCTGTGGCTGACAAGCTGCTGAATGTTTGGGAGAGGAAGGAAAGGCTCTTTGCAGGCTTGTTCTGAACCAAAGGTGAATGAGTTTTGTATCTTTGCTGCTGCGCTCTCTCCTCACAACAGGCCGTTTAGAAGCCTTTTCCTTCCCGCCACCGGGCACATTCCCCAGCAAGGTCAATGGGTGGCTTTTTTCATACACGCTCCTGCAATCACGAGGGGCAATCAGCTTGGAACAATGAGCTAAGGACATTAAAAAAAAGTACAAAAAAACCCCCAAACCAACTCCACCCTAATTAGCCATTCTCTCCCCCTCCCCCCCAAAAAACCCCCAACAACTCCAGCTATAACCTGAGTAAACAGGCTGGCCCTGGAGGTCAATGAAAATCAAGACCTTGTTCCTGTCCCCACAGGAGGGAAGGACGTTGCAAACGGCCACGTCTTCGTTATCAGAGCACAGCTTTCAGCAGCTGAAAATTAAGTCTTAGTCAAGAGAGGAGCTTGTCGGTGGGGAATAAAGTAGAAAAACATATACGGCTGGCCATGCGCGGCTACTGTACTGCAAAACATCCCCTGCCTTTCTTACGCTGGGCAGCGGCCGAGCTGGCGCAACACCGATGGGTACATGGCACCTTCTCCGAGCAAGTATTTTAATGCTTCAGGCTGTTTTCGGCAACTTTGGGGTGTTTTAGACTACAACTCCACACTGCCATGTGGATGATGGGAGTTGTAAGCAGATCTGAAGGGCACTAGGCTGGTATAATTTAGAGTCTAAAGTAGGGAGACACACACAGAGAGAGACATGGAGAATCAGAGTTCCCAGACCAGCACAACACAACAGGGCCTGGGGCTTAGCTTGGAGAGGTTCCAGGAAAAGCGAGTCAGCACGGATGTGTTTAGGTGGTCCAAAACCATCGACTTCTTTTGTCTGTTTTTATTTTGTGTTGCTTCACTTCACTTGACGGCTGCTTTTCTTTGCTTTGAACCCTTTGTTCAGTACTTTTGAAGGGGTTCCATCCTCTAGTTGGGGTCGTGTTAGTGGCCAGCCTAGGGGAACGGTCTAGTGAAAGGTTGCCCTAAAAGTCACAACAGATGAACCGCAGAAGAGGACGGAGGATGGGGGCCCGGCTCAAGCCCTCACCTGCTCGGACTCACCTGACAGGGGCTCCTTGGCCTTGACTTCCGCCTCCTCGGTGACGGAGGCCGGCTCGGCGGCCTCCGTCTGGTTGAGCTTCTCCACCAGCGAGGCCCTCCGCACCTTCCCCCCGAGCCCGATCTTGAGGAAGGCGAGGCGCTTCATGGTGTCCCCTCCGCCGTTCTCCTTCTCGGCGAGGCCGCAGTCTGAACTGTAGAGGCTCTCTTTTCGGCGCCCGTTGAAGCGCTGCAGCAGGCTGAAGTCCTCCGAGCTGCGGCGCGTCTTCTTCTTCTCCGGCGCCCGTGGGCCCAGGTTGCCGTCGGTCAAGGGCATCATCATCCGGCCCAAGAAGGACTTGCGGTCCAGACCCTTCTCCCCCCCGCTGGGGGACCTCTTCTCCCCCCCCTTCTTCCCCTTGCCCATGCGGAAGGGCGACAGGCCCACCAGTTTCTCGAGGGTCGCCCGCCGCCTGTAGTGGTCTTCGGGGCTGCCGTTGAAAAGGCCCCGCTCGAAATCCCTCCTGCCGTCCTCCGGGGAAAGGCTCCTTCTTTCTGGGGAAGCTTTCCCGAGGAAAGAGTCCCTCTCGTTCTCGTCCAGGTCTTCCTCAAAGGGGTTGGTACCCTGGCTTGCCTTGTCCAGGATCAGGGCCCCAGTCCTCCCAGCAGCCTCTCCGTTGGCCATCTTGAGCTTGCAAGGGTTCTTAAGGACCGGCATGGCAGCCCAGGTCTGAGAAGTCTGGGAAGGCAAAGGGCAAACGGTCAGGCCAAAAGAGGTGGTGGGAAAAAAAAATAAAACACTCGCTGAAATGCCAGAGATCTACGTACGTCGGGTGCCCACAGCCTGGCTTCCGGGCTGAGCAGGACCCAAATCACCTGTCAGGGAACATCAAAAGTTATATCTCCATCCACAGTCAGTTTTGAAATGAAAAACTTTACATTCTAGCCGACATTTGAGGTTAGTCTGCCTATCCCTCTCTCTGTCCGTCTGTCCGTACCTCTGTCTATTTTTAAAGTAGGGTTTTTAAGGTAGCAAAGCATTAATACTGTACATGTTGAACATGGAATAATGCAATTCATATGTCAAGAAACAAATACAGGCACTCAGAAAGCCCCTCTCCCTGCGCCCCCCCCATTCATATGTCAAGAAACAAATAAAGGCACTCAGAAAGCCCCTCTTCCTGCCCCCCCCATTTCAGTCTCTCCACGGCTCCTGCCCACGGCCTTATCCAGGTCTGGCTCTGCAGGACCAGAAGCTCCCACAGCCCTAAAAATCCTGCAGGTAGCCAGCAGGTGTTGCTCTCGAGGAGGCAGAACCAGTTTTTTATCGGGGACCTGCATGGGGTGGGTGCTTCCAAGAGGTCTGGACTGGAGCTGAAGGTCGCTGCCTGAGAAGTAGCGTACCAGCGCTTGCTTTGGGCTACGAGCGAGACAGTGGGGCTGGTTGGTGTGGCTGCACAGAGAGAGCCCACAGGCTGGTGAGCCTGGAATCTCCTTGGGACGGGGTTTGGGAGATCCAGGCGCACATCGTCAGTGAGCCATGACAGCCACTGGGCGATCGCGGGACGGACCCTCTTGCTCAGCCTGTCCTACCTCCTAAGATGAAATGCAGAGCTATGGCTGCTGCTTTGCCCCGTTTGGAGGAAAGGTAGGATCCAAATGTCACTAAAACACATAATCAGCCCTAATGGAAAGGTGGGCAGAAAGCATCCCCTGACTTCCTCTCCTTTCCTCTGTTTCTGCTTCCTGTAGCTGCTTTCACAGAAAGTGGCTGCTCTCTTCCCTCTTGTGCTCACAGATCAGGCCCCCAGCTTTCCCTCCTGCCGCCACCCCTCCTGCACTTCAGAAAAGGCTACCAGTCCCTCCTTTCCTGGGCTACCGAGTCTTAGGGCAAGCTGGCCACTCTCTCCCTCTTTTATTCCCTGCCCCCAAAGTCTGTCTCCAAGATGAAAAAGGGGGGGGGAGGGGATGAGAGAGCAGAGGAGGAGGAATAATCGCTTTGCAAATACTTTGCAAATACTGCTAGATACGTTTGTAGTACCGGGCCGGCCGTGGTTTTGACCATTTGAAGAACAGAATTGCTTCACCCCTTAACAAAGAAAAATCAACCCATCCATCAATATATAAAAAAGAGCTTGCAAGAGTTACTTTTTTTGGAGGACCATGCTGGATTCTGGGAGTTGTAGTCCAAATAGAGATTCTGACAACCCCTCCCCCCCCAAAAAAAGTCCTGTCCTTGCAGTGCATGGAATCAGGAGTGGGACCAGATGCTTTCCGAGGTCCAGAGAAGTGCCCTGATCCGGCAACACAGCCTAGAGGAGGATGTCTCTTGAGAGAAGAGGCACCAGGACAGGAAAGGGGCTGAGCCCTGTAGGGGGGTGGCCAGCATGCAGGAGTCCCTACCTGAAATCTCCATGCTTCCTCCTATTTCAGAAAGGGATGGGCTTGGCTTTCTCCCTTGGGCTTTTCCACACCAGCCAGCCAGCCAGCTGTGCAGAGCTGTGTGTGTGTGTGTCTCTTTCTCTCTGTGTGTGCGCGTCTCCAGTGACCAGCTGACAGCAGCCTTACCTGCTGAACTCGGCCCCTCCTCCCTTTCTATGTGACGGGGGCACTTCCTCGAGGCCACCTGCCCTCCTTCTGGAAAGGGAGAGGAGGGGGAGAGCCAGCCTGCCTCCCTTTTCCCCAGAAGTAAATCTCCGAATGAAAGACAAGGAAGGGGAATTCCATGGCAACTCATTCCCATCCAGTCCAGCCCCCTCAGTTACTGGAACTTTGAAGCTGTGCGAGAGAGTCGGATTCTTCCTCCCCAACAGGAATTGATGACCTTGCAGAAGGGCTTTTGTGCCTCTATGAGTTCCAGGATCCAGCTGGGGGATTCTGGGAATTTTTTTTTAAAGGAATGGTTTCAAATCTTGCTCTCTCTCTCAGCTGCATCAAGGATATAGGGTGCCGGGACACCAAAGGGCCAGGAACCTCTAGATCCGGTACCTCCTCCTGGGTCAGGCCAGCTGAGAGACACCTTGGCATCGCACCCTTTCACTAGCCTCGGGGGAGGAGAGGGTGTGCCGAGGCCACATGGCCTGTGGCTGTTTCAAGGCTAGGAAGCCCCTTGCTTGTAACCATGGGCTCCAAGGCAGGAAAAAACTAAAGGAAATGAGGTAACCAAAAAGATTCAGAGAGAGAGAGATTCCTTCCAGCAGAATGGATCCACAGCAGGATCCATTCTGCAAACGAGAAAGCCTGGACTCACTCCACAACAATAAGAAAAACATATTTACTGTACTCTCTGTTTTGATGAACGGAAGCACTTCCCATAAATCATCGGAGTCATGCTTACGACAGCTCTCCAAGGTCGGCTGGCTTTCTTACCCAGAGTGCGCCCATGCACGACTAGGTTCAGACCCGTGGCCGGGACGAGCCTTTCCAGCTTAGGTTATCCCTGGCATGAGAGCTAAACCAGGCACTCTGCTCGGCTGCAGCTTGGGACTCTTTCTTGGGGTGACTACAGTTCCCAAAATCCCCCCAGTGTCCCTCTGGCTGGAGGATTCCGGGAGCTGTGATTAAGAAAAGGGGGGGGGGTCCAGTCTGGGTATTCTACCTGCCTGCCATACCAGCTTCCTTCCCTCCTGGCATGTGCTGCTCCTTCAGAGTAATAATAGCTACTGGTCTGGGTGACTCTAATTCTGTGTGATGAGTAAGTGCTCTGGATGAATGCTGGAACGTCAAGCACCGCACGAGCATGTGTGACCCTTTTCTGGACTACAGTTCCCATCAGCCAACGCCAGCAGAGCCATTGGTGAGAGATCACAGGACCCATACTCGAGCAATACCTTTGCCCTCCCATGATCCTATGGATGAGACCAAGGCATGCTTTGGCTTAGCTCCTCACTTCCAAGCCCAAAGATGGGGCATAAAGGCAAGAGCGCCCCATTCCTGCACGGGCCATGAGCAGTCTGGTTCAAGTTAGCCGTTGACTCACAGCTACCCGTAAATCCATCCTCCTTTTCTCTGTCTCCTGGAGGAATTTCTCTAACCGCTTTCTAAAGACATCATATAAGTGACTACTGACATGCAATTCTTGTCCCTGTGAATCACATGAATTCTGAAAGTTGCATGGAGGGAGAGCGAAAAAACTTTATCCAAGGTGGGCAGCCTGCATGCTTCTCAGGAGCTGTTTGCTGCTGCGGAGCGGGAGCGCCCGGAGTGGGGTGGCTGAAAGGGAGGCCTGACCCGGCCTGACCCAGTTTTGACTTGCAGACAATAAGCAAGCTTGAGAACCACACAGGGTGGCCTTCTATCCATTCTGGATCATCTCTGCACAACTAGCAATTTAGTTATTGATTTATTTATGTATTTATTTGCTCACTAGGAGCATTCACTACTAGTGTTTCTATCAGGGCTGCCCTCAAGAAATACAAACTCTTTTTTTTCAAAGTTTCTAAAAGCAGTTTTAAAAATTGCTGTACATCTTTTTCCTTCTTCTCCCCATCACAACCCTAGCAGAACTAAAGCTACCTTCTTTTTCTTTAGTCCTATAAGGAGGAGCAGGTATTCATGTCCTCATTTCATGGATGGTGTTGGGGTGAAAAGGCTGAATGTGGGTGACCCTCCAAGTGGAATACAACAGTGACTCTAAGATCCAGGATCCGTGGTCCTCACATCCACGCCGCTTAAGAAGACTTTTGGTCCTTAAGAAGACCAAGTCCTCTGTCCTGCCCAGAGGACGTGGGTTAAAGGTCCACTTTGAAAAAACATTGTCTCCCTTTTCTCTCTCAGCCTACATTAAAATCCACCTCTGTACGCCAACCCAGTGTAAAAGTAATCCCCAAGCACTTCTTGTCTTATGGCCAAGTCCTGGTGGCTGTTCCTAATCAGGATGTGCTCCAGGGGATGGTACAAAGTCGGTACCTTGACAGCCTGGCCTCCTGGGAGCTGGGTCTGTGTTGCTCCTCTAGCTCAGCTGACAATTCAGACAAGCTTGAGTTACAACTCTAAAAATTCAGAGAATGGATGGGAGATAGAGAACATGCATGCGTGTGTGCGCGTGCACGTACATGCACACGTGTGCACACACACACACACACACACATCTAGTGCGCGCACGCGTGCACGTACATGCACATCTCCCTTGTACCCTATATGTACCATTGCAGGAAGTCCTGTGTCCCTTGTCCCTTCAGAGCATGGCATCCCTTTCCCGCTGTCCAAAATGTAGGAGGCATTGGAGAAGGGAAAGCACTCTTCCCATGTTCAAAGCAAAAGCAAAAAGCATGCTGCTTGTATACCAACCCATAGCACTTAAAGCATGGTTTAAAATTTTATTATGCAAGCTACACATTGCTTCCCCACCCCCAACCCCAGCAAGCTGGGCACTCAATTTACTGACCTCAGAACCTCATAAGTAAGTAAGTAAGTAAGTAAGTAAGTAAGTAAGTAAGTAAGTAAGTAAGTAAGTAAGTAAGTAAGTAAGTAAGTAAGTAAGTAAGTAAGTAAGTAAGTAAGTAAGTAAGTAAGTAAGTAAGTAAGTAAGTAAGTAAGTAAGTAAGTAAGTAAGTAAGTAAGTAAGTAAGTAAGTAAGTAAGTAAGTAAGTAAGTAAGTAAGTAAGTAAGTAAGTAAGTAAGTAAGTAAGTAAGTAAGTAAGTAAGTAAGTAAGTAAGTAAGTAAGTAAGTAAGTAAGTAAGTAAGTAAGTAAGTAAGTAAGTAAGTAAGTAAGTAAGTAAGTAAGTAAGTAAGTAAGTAAGTAAGTAAGTAAGTAAGTAAGTAAGTAAGTAAGTAAGTAAGTAAGTAAGTAAGTAAGTAAGTAAGTAAGTAAGTAAGTAAGTAAGTAAGTAAGTAAGTAAGTAAGTAAGTAAGTAAGTAAGTAAGTAAGTAAGTAAGTAAGTAAGTAAGTAAGTAAGTAAGTAAGTAAGTAAGTAAGTAAGTAAGTAAGTAAGTAAGTAAGTAAGTAAGTAAGTAAGTAAGTAAGAAAGAAAGAAAGAAAGAAAGAAAGAAAGAAAGAAAGAAAGAAAGAAAGAAAGAAAGAAAGAAAGAAAGAAAGAAAGAAAGAATTTTGTTTCCTGGAACACTTAAAAGCATGCCCTTCAATACTGCCCAGAAGGAAATAAGGGATTGATTCCTTTATTATGACCAACAGATCAGATAAGGGGAAATAAAGCATTTGCTAAGAATTCCTGTTCTTACACACACTGTGGGCAACTGCCCAAAGGCTGAACATGAATACAGGCAGGGGCTATATTCTGCCTACTACTCTTCTCTTTTCTGCAACTGTATGTCCTCTGGTCATTAAAAAGTCAAGGGGGCATCTTCCCCACCCCCTTTGAGGTTAAAAATGTACCAGAAAAGTGCACTAAAAACACAGGGCATTGTGTTGGTTTTCAAGCAGACCCAAAACGAGATAGGTCTCCAGAAACCTTTTATGTCCTTTTGTGCTCTCTTAAAGGTCTAAATCCAGCAGGGATTGTAGAAACCTGCAATTTGCCTTCTGTATATTTATTTATTCATTGAAACTATTTTCATCCCAACCTTCCTCCTTAAAAAGAGCCCAAGGCACGGTCTAGCACCAACAGAGACCGTAGAAGGTGAAGTAGATGGGAGGGTCAGACTAGGACTCAGGAGACCCGCGTTGAGATCCCCACTGGTGGTGCAAACTCACTGGAGGTTGGCAAAGGGAAGCAGCTGCTTGAGCATCTCATGTGCCTCGAAAACCCCCGGCAGGTCGCCCAAAGCCGGAGGGGACTTGGCTGCACAAAAGGTCATCACCCTCAGGAGGGGTTCGAGACAGAGACCGGCCCGTTGAGCGCCTGCAACGTCCGACTGCCTCTCACGCTGTGCCTTGGCGTTCATGCGCCTCCATGGAGTCGCCTGCACGCCGGAGGCAAGAGGCGCCCACCTACCTGTTCCCCGAGACAGGCTGCGCCACCTGACAGGGAGGGAGGGGGAGAGAGAGATCTGGCCCCTGAAGGAGGAGGAGGAGGAGGAGGCGCCTAGCATCTTCCCCTAGCAAAGTTCGGCCAAGCAGAACCCCAGGGGCCCCACTGGACGCAAAACCGGGACCATCGCTTTCTCTCGGGGCAGTGCCGAGAGAACAGCCGGCGGGACGCCCGCGTCGGACATGGCTTCAGCCGCAGGCCAGAGCTGGTTTTCTCCACCCCACGGTTCCCCTGCGGGAGAAAACCTTACCAGGGCCACTGCCTTCCACAGGCATGCTGGCTGAGGGCGTCTCTGCGAACTGGGGTGCCGAAAAAGAACTTTGCCAAGTTCTGATGATCCGCAAGGAGCGGAGCCCCTAAACGCAGCCCAAGCCCCCTTTTCTCGGCCGCGCCAAGGCTCTCCCAGGAGCTGCAGAGAGGCGGCAGGAGAGGGAGGGCGAGGGCCGGCCCTCGGGAGCCTACCTGTCCCGGCGGGCGTTCTTTGGGGGGCCACCCTGGCGCTCAGTCCGCGCTCCGCCGCTCGCGGCCCGCGCCTGCCACCATCTCCTCCGGCCGCTCTTTGAGCTCCGGGCTCCTGCTGCTGGAGGAAGAAGAAGATGCAAAGTGGGGTGGGTGGGGGTGGGGGGTTTGTTGAAGAGAGGGGAGGGCTTCTCTCAGAGGAAGCCCCTCCCAGCCAAACAGGGACAATAGCAGCTCCACCGCCGCCGGCGGTTGTGAAAAGTGCTTGGCTTATATAATTTGGGCAAGCGGTCCCTCGGTCGGCGTCATCTCCGCTTGGACCAGCAAGAGGGAAGGGGCAGGCAAGGGAAAGGGAGTACAGAGGATTCATCCTGAGCAGGAGCTGAGCTCCTGGCTCTGTTTCCCCTTTGACAAAGCTCAGGATCCAAGGTTCTGGACTCATCATGAACAGTGCCTCTGACCATGCGGAGAGCACCCTTTGGTGCTTAGAAGAATCATAGAACCAGGGAGTTGGAAGGAGGGTTGAAGGCCCTCCAGCCCAACCCCCTGATCAAGGCAGGAATCCAAAAGGTTGAAGGCCCTCCAGCCCAACAACCCCCTGATCAAGGCAGGAATCCAAATCCCAGCAGACTTTTCTAACTATCTCTTGGATGCTTCCAGCGCTGGAGGCTCCTTCACCCGTATGTGGCCACTCCATGTATTTGGGGTCAGTGGGCAAGGGCGTTCCCCAAATCAGAAGGGGTCCTGCAGGCTCCAGCACCCACGCAGAACTCTGTCTAGACAAATAATCAGGAAGCACTCCCCACAGCACCATGAAGAATACCTGGATCATGTTTTGCCCAGTAACAGAGGTCAAGAGCATTCGGGAGCAGCTAGCACAAAATCTTCCACATGCTGAGGGGCACGAGGCGCCCTGCCATCCATAGGGCGAAGGTGCCTCTTCTTCTGAAAGCCTCACCCTGTTTTCTTAGGTTCACTTGGATTCTGCCAAGTCCACTCAGTATCTCGTATTAAATGACCTCCAAGTGACCCGTCCTCTGCATGATCAGGGGCTAGACTTTCCAAGGGGTTCCACCCATTTCGAAAATCAGGTCGTTCTTTCTTCCCACCTTATTTTCCTGGAATTTTCTGCTGTTTCGGAAAGCTTCACAGATGTTCAGGGGGAAAAAATCCCTGGATTTTAATCTGGGAATGGTGGGATGGCAGAGCAGTGCCCATTTTGAGGGAGGACACCTGTTGCCCCCTCCCGGCTACCAGTTTTTCCAAGCTCTGTGTGAAACTTCCTTGTACTGAGTCTGACTTGTGGTCCATTTAGGCTAGTGCTGCCGTCTCTGACCGGCAGCCGGGACTTTCTCCTGCGTTTCAGGCAGGAGTCATTGAAGCCCTACCAGATTATGGCCGGGATTGAACCTGTGGCTTCATGCATGGAAAGCGGGAGCTCTGCCACTGAACTAGGAGGACTGTTCCCTGGAGCCAGAGGAACACTGGGAAGTGACCTTATCCTGCATCAGGGTCCTGGTGCATCCAGCCCAGTGTGCTCATCTCTGACCGGCAGCAGCTCTCCTGGGTTCTGTGCATGCGTCCTTCCTAGCTCCTCTTAGAGAGGCAGCTGGTGATGCCTCATGGGTCAGTCTGCGGCTGAGGCACCATCATGGGAGCAGGGATGGAGGCAGGGCAGAGCTGGGCTATCTTAGACCAGAAATCCCCTCCCCGCCCCCTCCAGCCTCGCTGAAATGAAGAGGCTTCTTTCCATGGGGCCCTGGCAGGAGAATGTTCTGGAGGATGGAGTCCTAGCTATTATGACCCTGAGGATTTTCTGCTTCAAGCAGCCCAATGTCTCCGCTGGGCTCTGTTTACAGTTATGGAAATCAGTGCTTCTAATAAACCCCCCAAAAGAGCAGAACAGGCTCCCTGCCAGCTCCTATTGGCTCACCGGCCCTCCCCCCCCATCAAACGCAGCCTTCTCCTGCCACCCCGTGGCCACTCCCTGCACAAAATGGGCAGGATTATGTCTCTGCTTAAAACCTCTTTGAGGAGCCAGACAAAGCGACCCGTTAAGGTGCTCTAGGGAGGACAAAAAATGTGCCCCTTGTTTAGGCAAAAAACTGGAGTAACAAAACATTTTAAAAAGATAGCGTGTGGTTTAGGGACTGGAATACTGGACCAGAACTAGTGGGTGGGTGGGAGAGACTTAAATCCAGAACCCACTTAAGTTATGAAACTCCTGGGGGCCATGCAGGGTATTTTAGCATTTTAAATAAACCTCCCCCCCCCAAAAAAAAATTGTGTCTGTCTATTACTGTTGCCCAGTTGATTTTTCCTTTCAGTCTCTCCAAGCACCTTATTATTTGTTCATCAAACCACAGCTACAGATGATGGTTAAACAAGCCCTTTCTTGTTATAAATCTGGGAGTCAGCCCACAACCGCTTTGCTGAGCCAGGGAATCCTTTGCCCCAGTTAGCTGCCCTCCAGGTGTGCCAAGGTGGGGGGTTTCCAAAGGCCATTCTGCCTCAGGATGATGGGATTGGTAGGCAGTCCAGCACAGTGAGAGGTCCCTGGGTTGCAGAAAGCTGCAGAAGAGAAATCACCAAGCCCTCCCCAGGCCCTGCCGACTCCATTGGTTTGCCTCTTACACATGAGGTGGCTGTGAAAGCAGGTGGATACGTTGGGGATGCCCCCAGATGCCTTTTTCTGGACCTTTGAGCCCCTGCTTCTAGGCAATTGCCTCTCTCTCTCTCTTTTGGAGGTTTTGTTTGTTTGTTTTTCCATTGTTGGCCATGTAGGTACAATGCTAGCCCTGTCATCCTTCAGCCTTCAGCTTTCCCAGGTTTTCTAGAATTTAAATATCTGCAGGAGCACCAAGCAGGGGCAGATCTATTGTGAAATGAGTGAAGCTAAAACTTTGGGGGCCCCTTTTCCCAGAATATATTGTGGTGATCTGTTGTGGAACAACCTCCGTTGGAGAAAGTAATGACGGTTACCCAAACTTTGCTGCTGGTTGCAAAGGGGCCCCCAGAACAGTTCAATGTTGGTTTGCCACTGTCCCCAGGGGTCCCCACTCTCTGCCCTGTTGCCTACAGGGCTGGCCCGAGACATTTTGATGCCTGCTGGCGAGTGACGAGGGCTCAGGACCATCCACCTTCCGGAGTCATGGCGCAGAAGACTCAGGGCCAAGTGGATTCTGTTCTGGCACCGGCCGCAGAATATCCCCAAAGCAACTTGCCTTATTTGTTGGAAGAAGCCAACGGCCGAAGGCAGTGGCCCCACTCTGCCTAACGATAAAGGGGACACCTCTTCTTCCCTGTGTCATTGTCACCGCTCTGAGAGGCGGCCAGACCCGCCGTTGCTCTGACCCAAAAAGGCCTTTGTTTTGGTTAGGATGGGAGCCAGCCAGTGGGAGACAATCGGTCAGTGTTGCTCCTGCCACCCTCACCCACCCCCCACTCACTGCCACCTCCTCGCCCCCACCGCTCAGGGACCCATGACCCTTTTCAGCGTCGTCATTGTCTTGGGAACTCTGCTTTCCAGAAGAGCACCATCCCAGCCGCAGGGACTTGCTTTAGCCCCAGTCACTTGTGGAAAGAGAAGCCAGAGGCTGGACGCTCGCCAGGCTGAGAGACAAAGGGCTAGTGAGAGACACAGGGAGCCAGTCCGGAGGGTGGCCGTGACTCAGTGGCTTCTCTGGACAGACGGCCAGGATGAGATGAGAAGGACTGGGTGGTTCTGGAAAGACAGACACACACAGAGAGAGCGCCCAGGCCCAGGGTGTCAGTCAGGTATTTCTCCTGTGCCATTGAAAACCCACAGAAAGCAACGATTGTTTGCATGCTTTAAAGAATCGTTCCAGTTTACTGCTAAAATCTGATGGCAGGGAAGGGGGCCTTTGTTTGTGGGGGGAGATGTGTGGACAGTTGAATGTGCGTTTTCCTCTTCTGGTGCAGAGACGGATGAGCTCAAATGCAATGGTGTGGGTACGCACATGGCCTGTTTTATTTTGTTTGGAGAGCTGGGCTGTTACACACAATCCACAGCTGCCAAGGCTGTAGCCATAAAACACCAACCAGCCTCCAGACGTCCATCTAAGAGGCAAGCCTGGCAAAACCCATCTCGCCAAGAACGGCTGGACTTAACATCTAAGGGGAAAAAAAGCCCATCTTGTCCTATCCTTTTGGACTTTTTTCTTAAGTTTTGGACTTCACATTCTCCTCACCAGCACAAGCCTGATGAAGTAACATTTTAATCCATGAAAGCTCGTGTGTTGCATGATGATTTTTAGTGCTCTGTGTAAAGGTATTGCCTGTTTTTTTGCTTATGAACTTTTATGCCGTTGCTTTTCTGGGCGAATCAAAGGGTCACTTCTCTCTCTCTCTCTCTTCTTTCTTCCCAAAATCTTGGTAGTGGTGGGGATGTCACTTGCATGGAGTAAGTGATGGGGATCCACTTCTATCACGCAATGCCCAGTGGTTTCCAGCTATTCTCCCAAACTGAAGCCTCACTTTGCTCATCGGATACCCAGGAAACCGGATGCCAGAGAGGAAGCCGCTTGGAAGGGGCAGCGAGGACTCGGTTTGGAGGCTGCTGTTCTGACATATTTGCTGTTGCTGCCTGAAGCACTTCACGTCCGCGCAGGGTGCCTCAACCTCTCCCCCCTGCCTTGCATCCCTGTGCCAGGATGTTGTCCTGTTGTCTCCATCAGCACCACAGGGTCGCGGAAGGGTTAATGCCAGGGTGCCTGCATGCCGGGCATTGGTTGCCATCTCAGCCAATGGGGAGTGAATGTGGAGCCGGTTAAGCCCTCCTTGCCAAGGATTTGGGTGGGGAAGGAGGAAGGGAAAGAGAGAGGCTGGAGGGTGACGGGCAGGCGAGCCTTGTTTCCATGCCGCTCTGCAACCAATCACGGCCCTTCGGGGTAGGCTCCCCAACCGCTGCGGTGGCTGGCCATTGGCTGCTGGGGTTTGCAGGGCTGGCATCAGCCCCGGAGTGCCCTGCGGGCCAGGCTGGGTCAGAATGCCCTGCCCCCACCCACTCGGTGCCCTCCAAGGCAGCTTGCAGGAGGCCGGCATCGCTGCAGAGAGAATGCTGAGATGGCCCCTTGCCATGCCCTGCCCTTCCTGGATGCCACGGAGCAGGCGGGCAGCCACCTCCTTTTGCCTGGACCACCAAAGGCCATTGACCGACCCCTTCTGACAAGGCCACAGATGCACAGGGAGCTGCAGCACTTTTCAGCT